GAGACCTAAAAAGACTTGGTTAGAAAATATTAGGAATGACCTTTCTTTATTAGATTTAAACGAGAATTTGACCTTTAATAGGACACAATGGAGAAAAAGAATTCATGTAGCCGACCCCACGTAGTGGGATAAAGGCTTGATGTTGTTGTTGTTGTGTTCTTTGGAGAGAACTTGAGGTGAGATTCCTATGGGAGGGAAGTGGAGTTTCCACCAGCCGCAGGATGGGTCCGGGCTCGTGGCATGAAGTCCCTTGGAGAAGGGCAAAGTATTACCCATCAGCTGCAGGATGTGTCTGGACTCACGGATGTATCTTTCTTTCCTTTCCTTTTCTCCTCCTCCCCTCTCTCCATCTCAAGCCGCCGGCCTAAGGCGTCACCAAAGTCCTTACCGCCGGCCACCTAATCCTCTTGCACCCACCAACCTCAACATACCACCACATCTCCAAATCAGCCCCGTAAAGTCCACCTCACTGCCGGCCCATCTCCACCACCCCTAGCCAAACCGCCGGTTGCCATCCCACCCCTTGCCTCCAATTCTCCAATCTCCACTTGAATAATTTCCTTTCTTGCTTAACTTCTTTGGGAAAGTCATTTAATTTTAAATCAATTAATTCAAATTTGAAATTTGAAACATTTCCTAAAATAGAATCCTATTTTAGGAATGTTTCTAAGATCAAATTTAAAATTAATTTGATTTGGATTGGACATTAAATCCCATCCTAATTAGGAAAGTGAATTCGGCCACCCCTTCACAATCTCATGAATTTTAAATTTCAATTTTCAAACTCCTCTTAATCGCTTTCCTAAAATAGTTTTTTATTGATTATGAATGCTTTCTATTTAAATTCAAATCATTATTTGAATTTAAATACTTTCTTAATTGATGAATTAGTTTAAGAAATTTCTTTCCTTTGAATAAAATTTGAAATCAGATTTTAAATCTGATTTCCAATCAATAATTAAAGTCATGGGTCCACATACATTGAACCTAGGCATCTTTTCTCTCCCCTCTTTGGCCGGCCCCCTCCCCCTTCCCTATTTAATTAATTAGCTCATTAATATCACCCCAATCAAGCCCTTAATTCCTCTAATCAAATCCACTTTGAGCATGAAGGGAGTTACCAAAATTATGAAATATATTTTTGGAAACTTCCAAATTTGATTCATATTTAAATTTTAAATTAAGAGAGGATTAATTACTTCTTTCCAAACTTAATTTATTATTTTAAGTAG